TCCATCCCACAAAGAAGAACAGCTTCCTCCAGAGCTTGAAGTTACACTACAGCTCCAACTTATTAAAAAAAAAAAAAAAAAAAAAAAAGCCCCTGACTTGTATCACAGAAACACAGAGATGGCTGAAGCACCTAGAAAGCAATCTTTATCCCCATCCCTAAGGACTGCTCTGACAAGAAATTATGTTCAACGGCAAAGAAAAGAAGAAAACATGAAAACTCCACATAAATCCTGGTGTGGTTTTCCACCGCTGGAGACAGCTCAGGGCGAGTAAAGAGACACGCTTTGATGCAGAGCTGCAACTTCTCTGTTAGACTGGTGAGCAATATCTAATATTGGTCTGTAGCAAAAAGTATCATAAGTGCAAATGACAACCTGTACTGACAAACACTTCAAGTGGCATAAATGTATGATTTTTGATGTTGACAGATGTTTAAGTGATTTAGTAGAATTTCGCCTGTTCCTGCAGCTGTTGTCCAGCTAGATGCGTCAGTAACTTTTTTTACAAGTATGACAAAGAGACTGTTTGATCCAGAACCAGCGGGTTCAGGATCCACTGCCTAATACTGTATTTAGTTTAGCATATTCTTACTATTTATTATACACACACAACAGACCTAACATGTTTGAATATAAAGAACTTGTATGATCTAAACTAATTGTCCTCTCACATGTTTTTCTGTATCAGGACCGGAATTCCAGTCCAGTCCTCCCCAGTGATGGACCAGCACCTGCCTTTACTTCTGCATCTGGCCTCATCAATCATCAACAACCACATTACAGTAACACCTTGGAGTATTATCCCTGCACAGAACAGATATTGTCTATACTGTGATCTTTCATCCTGCTCAGCAGGGGTTTTGTCAAAACTTTTGTACATCGGTTTTTACATAGTTTAGCAGTAGTAAAAATGACCACAGTGCTACACATCATTAAATACAGTTCAAGGGTTGAAGGCTGAATGTTACAGCACATAAATAAATGCAAATATAGCCCCACACCTTGCACTCTGCACTAATTAACTGATTAATGAGAACAATTAAGAGTGAAACAGTTCTATAAAGCTGGCTTAATTAATAAAACCTACATGGGTTCAAAAACAGGAAAAAATGTAGCGGGAAAGAGGCTTAATTATCTCTTAACCCAAGTTTCTGAACTTGAAGCAAAGAATGACGATACTGAAGGCAATGACTTGTCATGTCTTTTAATTGAGGGACTAATGCAACTAAACTGTGCCTCCTTTGTCCAGATATAGAATCTGATAGCTGTTACTAATAGTAAATCTGATGTGGTCATTTGTTCAAAAATGATTTCATGAGGACTTTTGCAATACCAATGGAGCCTTTCATAAGACACAGACTAGAAGAAGCTCTGGACTTATGAATTGGCTCATTGTTTAAGTGCAAGGCATGATAGGAGCAGAGAGCATGAGGGCTCATCTAGACCTCATAAAAACCTCACTGACATTATTAACATGCTTCACTGTTTCCATTGGTTAATATTAAACTGATATGTTTGTATTTTATGAAAAATATGCAAATGAAGCCTAATTGTGAGACTACACAATGTGTCTAAATATTAAACATATAGATAGAACAAACAGATACACAGCAATAAAGCAATAAGAAAATATGAATATTGATCAGGGTTTATTCAGTGGCTTTATAAACAGCCCAATGTGAGCAATAAAGCCATTCCCAATGACATCTGCCTCCTTCTGACTTAACTGCTTGGCCCTATATGTTGTTTTGACATGTTTTGGACATACACACAAGTGATAATTTGTTGCAAGGCGATTACTGAATGTATATCTGTTGTGATGCTATCCATGGTGCTGAAATAGCAGCACCTTTCCAGGGGCCTATTACAGGTATGTATAGTCTATGGTCAACTGCATGCATGACACCTCCATAATGACAAAGTATAATCTATTATCACTTACGCTAAACCTCTGGCAGTCACATCAATTCACAACCTTTTAAGCCTTTTACCTTTTTAAATGGTAACATGACAGTCGTTGAGGAATGACTAATCATGTGTTTAAGTGCTAGATCAACACCCCCCCAATTTTCAACACGCTGACAGGATCAAAGTGGTGACTATGTTGCGACATGCAACTTGCAAGTGACAGAAGTCAGTTCACTACAAGCGACATTACTTGTTCAATTTAAAAGCACTCGTCAGTGATCACATGACTGGAATAAAAAAAAATATATTTCTAAATATAGTTAATATTAAAGTCAGGCTATGGATATATGAATTATAATTAAGTTTCTCACTGTGTATTTTCACTCTTCAGTCTGATGATGAACAAACGACCTCAATCAGACCGTCACCATGGTCTTTTACCTTGAATGATGCCATCCTACTACCTATCCTCAAGACCTTATGTCAACAAAGTCATGTGACTGACCTTAAGAGGCTTGGCTTGCCACCTATAAAAGCATCCAGGTGAACAAGCTTCTTCCTCTTTGCCTTACTTGCCTCATTCGAGACCATAAGTATTAAAAACTCCACTGTGATCAATCCGTCACTTATGTGCAGGTGCCTTGTGTCCCTGGATTGCGTGGATTGTATTTGATGTGATAAGTATACGCATTTCGAAGCATGAGTGTTAACGTTGTTAACCCCAGTTTTCCAGGTGACTTAATTAATTACTCCTGAGCAAGACTTAAGAGTTATTTTAGAACGTTGGTAAGTGAACTACGGTTTGTCAGACCATTATCAAGCAACAGAAAAATTAGGAATTAAAATAAAGCTATGGTAAACTCTCCTCTGTTTGTTAGAAGCTCTGTTTGAAAATGTTAGTGGACACATTCTGGTCTGGAACAGCAAAATGATTCCACTGATTTATATACGTCTACTGCTTGTTGTTATTTATCATGTAATTGTGAACCCTTTTGTTCCTGTCGGGATCCTGTAGGAATGATGACTCAGAAGTTAAGCTGCGCCGGAGCAGGTTAGGAGTTCTGCCTAAAGCTGTGTTTTGACCAAAAAGTACCTGAAACTAAAAGTTCTTTAGGGTACTTTCCTTCAGGAACTATAAGGTTCCTGTGGCCCATTGTTGTCTGTGTTTCCAGTGTGGCCTAAAGTCCTGGGAAGATTAGAAAATTATTACTTGACATTATATCATTCACAGCACTTTGAGGACATAACATGAATGAAAATACAGGACAAACTGCGTCCCATATATATTCAATACAGGACGCAGCATTTTATTTTTAAATACAAGACGATCCTGTATTATACGTAACGGGTGGCAACCCTAGCCACTCCAGTTGCTGTGGTTCTTTATTTTTTTGAAATCCTTTTTCAGTTTTTTTTTTACTTCTCGCGGACCTGTTTCGCGTTGTAGAAAATGTGTTCTCTCGCTTGGTGGTCGCTCACTGCAGACTTTTAAAGATGGCGGGTGAAATAAAATGCAGCACCAGTCAGAAATGTTCAGCGGACCACAACCCCCAAAGTTCCTGAACCTTTGGAAAGTTCCACCCCACGACCAGGTACCTTTTTGGGGGTTGATCAATTCCCCTGGAACTAAATTAATTGACCCTGGTTCCAGCGGTCGAAACGCACATAGATCCTCAAAAGAAACGTGGCTTATGTTACCATGGTGAGTTACCCCAGTAACAAGTGAACCCCCGTCGTAGGACTGAAAATCCAGAGTTAAACCTGAAGTTAACTTGATAACCTCAAATCCTGCTTCATAGTACAGGCCTCAGGTATCAACTAATGATGCATATTGCATATTTATATTAAAAAAGAAGGTTTAGCATTGTCTTTTTAGACAGTATGTTAAGCTGCACTACTGTTGTCCTCTATCAGAAATATTACATCATCTACATCTATGTATCTACCATATGATAGTTATGATAGGAAAATCATAACATGAGAAATGATTATTATTCATTCAGTTTGAGTCTAAAGCTTCACACAGATTTCTTTTTAACTAAGTGATGAATTCATAGTAAATGATTGAGTGCAGAGAAACTGAGTGACAGTCTGACAGTTGTATTAAGTCCACAGAGTCTCAGTGTTACAGAGACGGACACTGAATAGATTTTAATCTGAGTTGAGGATGAAGCCACAATGTGTAGGCTAATAACTGAATGTCAGTGATCTCCGTCTCTGTCCTCACACTGATCGCTGATTGATCATAAAAGAGGTAACGTTAGTAAAGGCAAGGATTTTAATCTTCTCCCAACGTGAACTTCTTTAAATGAAATCTGATCCAATTTGCACTTACATATAGAATGAGAAAATGACATGCCGAATCAGAAACTCAGGGTTTGAAAGTGACAGTGAGCAGCATTTTCACTAAATGCTCTCTGGAATATCCCCCTGGTCTCTCTGTAAAGACTGTCCCTGTGTTTTTTACTGTCTCATGCAGTAGCGGGTTCCTCTTCATGCTGATTCCTACTCCTTTATGTGAGGATGTAATGTGCGGTCTTGTAATTGCACTAGGAGAAAATACAATATGAATAGTTTGATAACATCTCCATACTAGTTGAAATGAGCTATGGGAGACAGTAGCGCTTACTAATAAACAGAACCGTGTGCCCAATGTGGCCTCCTATGTCTCAAACTTGGTGCCATTCTCTTTGTGGAGGTACTTGAACTTGATGATTACTAACACTTGTAGTAATGCAATGTAATTATTAATTATTAGTGCTGTTCCATACACCACTGTATTCTGTCTCAGGTGTTATTCTAGGAGCAGAAACTTCATGTTTTTACTTCAGTGAATTAAAAATGTTAACCCTGATTTCTGATTTGTAGCTTTGCAGCCATACCACAAATCATATGAAAGAATGTCAACACTATTACTGTGAGCAGCCACTGCCTGGGATGATGTTTTATATACAGACATTAAGTGTCGCAGTTGTGCTAGCTACAGGTGAAATCCTGTGTCTTCAAAACAACTCTGAGAACTGACTTTCCTGCAACAAACTGGTTAAAGCAAGGAGTTGTGGCAGAATTGAAGACTTATGTCAGGGTGTTACCTGTGATGAGGTTGTCCACCAGTGTTGTAGGGATGCAGAAGATGCCCACAAGTAGGTCACTGATAGCCAGGTTGAGGATGAAGAGGTTGGTGACTGTGCGCATACGACGGTTCTCCAGTACAATCAAACACACCAGGATGTTCCCCACCATACACAGCAGGAAGATGAAGAAGTAGGCCAGGATGTAGCATGCTGCCACATAGAGAGAGTGCTGGTAGTAAGGGAAAAAGGTAACGTTGGTGACGTTGGTTGCACCATCTAGGCTGGTGTTTTTAGGGTACGCTGCAGTGGCTGATCCCTCCATCTCCATTCCTTCCTCGCCCATGTTCTCCAGTATCTCCATCCTTTGAATGAAACAACAGTGCAGGGGAAATCAAACAGTGACAAAAAGATATCATTTCAAGTTCAGACAGAAAAATTTGTAAATGACATTTTATTCAGCAAGGATTTCTCATTTGGAAAATATGTGCTATTTCACATGACCATTCACTGAACCTCTCCCCTGATCAGTGATTGTCCAATCCAAGCTTTGGATCTAATCTGGATGCTGTGATGTGCATGAAGCTGTAGTAAAAGCTACACTCTGCATTTCAAGAGTTAATATTGTAGTTTCTTCTTTTCTATACTCCTCAAAACCAAAAACACAAGAGCTATAGAGTAAGGAATGAATTGAATAATGTGTTAACCTGCGCTAACATAAGCTGCAACATTAGTATGCTTGGCTACTTAGCTTAGTAATGTAACCCAATTTCCAATTGCTATGGGGTTACAGATAGCTTTTACACAAAGTCTTGCTCATGTCCAGCACATCCATTATAACATTAAACCTGATCATACTACTGAAAAATACAAACATTAAAGCATAACTCTAACCTCTGACTTGTTATTCCAAGTATGTAAGCTAAACAACCATACATTGTTATGTTGGATCTTCCGTTTTTTCTTGTCATATCTATATATGGGTCTGACTAGCTCTGCAATACAAGAACATTGCTTGCTCCTTTATTTCCATGTCTTCGCCTGAGCATCAGCTGGCGGGGGTGAACTTTCTTCAGCTTCTGAGTGGGGCATGCAAGAGAAAATTTGGGAACCACTGCTATAAACTGTGGTTCTTTGCCTCTTGTCCTCAGTCTGATAACCCAAGAGGTGAGAAGGACTCAGATAACTGTCTGTAAGATGTTCTACTAGATCTCCCCCCAGTATCCCACTTCAACAGGAAAACATCAAAGGAAACAAGATGCTGTAGAGTCGATGGAAACCTGTGCTCTGATAACCTCTGCTACCTCTCATTTCTGAGATGTTCACTGCACTCCAGTGCTAGGTTACTTTATGAATAAATGCTGTAATTTGCTTTTTGGCGTCTTACTCAAAGTTAGACTGAACAAACAACAACGATTAGCAGATAGTTAAGAAGATAATCTATAATGGTGCTGTCGTTACTTTTCCTCTTCCTTTCATGGATTCAACATTATTGCATCACCACATTCAATTATTTTTCCATCTTGCATTTTTACTTCAGCTGGAAACTAGTTAGGCTTGCTAAGTTCACCTCAAAGACTGAAAGGACCTACAATAAATGAAAGAGACAGGTACAACCCTATGACATCGTACACACTGTTACATGCTGTCACACATAACAGTTGGTTATGGTAATGAACAACCAATGTGACAATAAAAGAGCAAAAGAAGACTGTTGGATAAATGTTATCCAGCTTACATTTTATTCTGGGACTCTACTGGAGTAGCCTTGAGTGATTCAGTTTTTAAAAAAAAAAAAAAAAAAACTTATTTATCTCATTCTGTCTGTTATGCAGCCCCTCAGAAGTGGGTGGACTTGTTTTACTATTCGTGGGATGCAAAAACAGGGAACCCACTATACTTGTGGAGTGCAACAGCTTTGTGGGGACCAAAATGCTGGACCCCACAAGTTTAAATGGCTTTTTGAGGGTCAAGACTTTTATTCGGGTTAGTCATTCAGTTTTGATGGTTAGGGTTGCAGTAAGGGCCAAGGTCACTAATGAGATCCAGATGCCGTCCTATACAAACCCATAAATTATTATTATTAATATTATTATTATAAATTATTGAGCGTTATTACATTTTGACAGAGCACTTTTATTTTAACTAGAACAGCTTTTCTAGCCTTTACAACACTGGTCATGAGATGCTACTCACAAAGGGGAGAGACCAGGCAAATAAGTGGGGAAAATGGGAAAACTAAAACTCCTGGGAGCTGGTCCAGTCCATCTCCTATCTGATGACGGCCCCTCTCTGGTGACGGAAGGCTCCTCCTCATTGGGGGTGATGGGTGGAAGAGCCGGGAGGACTTTCCGACGAAGGTTCCTAGGGGGAGCTGATACTGGTCGTACTTGGCTGGTTGGGGTGACACTAGTGGAAATCAGAGATGATGCGAGGATCAAGGATGTGACGAGCCGGTATCCAGGACCTTTCTTCGGGACCATAACCCTCCCAGTCGACCAGATACTGGACCCCATGGCCACGGCGACGAGCTGATGGAGGAGAAGGAGACCCGAGGAGTAGTAGACGGGGAACGAGTCGGACCACTCAGCCTCTTTTCTTGTTTCCGTGCCTGGATCCGAAGGTCCAATCTCATCGCCAGCGCAATCAACCCGTCCAGCGTAGACGGGAGGTCATGCGGCACCAGTTCATCTTTAATATATTCAGCTAATCCGTAAAGAAAAGCGTCGCACAGCGCTGCAGAATTCCAATCACTCTGGCGAGCCTTGGTGCGAAAGTCTATGGAAAAGTCAGCCACCGTCTGGTCGCCCTGACGCATGCTTATCAGACCCCGTGCTGCGTCTGAACCAAAAGCCCCCATGCCGAAAACCTTGCGGAGCTCCCCGGAGAAGAGCTGAAAGGAGGTGCAGGCTGTAGTCTGTCTCTCCCACTCCCCAGAGATGAGCCCTTCCCGTCAGGTGGTTGATTGCGAAGGCTACCTTAGCCTCCTCAGAAACAAAAGGGAACAGTTCATCAGGAATGGACCACAGGTCTCAGGGTCCCCCGCATACCTTTCTGGGGTTCCCACTCAGGGCTCCGTGACGTCACTGGGCAGTGAGGGTGCAGGAGTCGGTGGAGCTGGGGAAGGATCCGGAACAGGAGCCCGGTTCAAGGCGGTCGTTAGCTGCTGCATCTGGGAGGCTAAAGCTGTTAGCGCCTGCTCATGGACTGCTGCTGAACGTCTTGCTTCAGCTTGTGAGATGACAATCAAGGCTTCATGCTGCTGGAGGGCGCTCTCAATCCTCTCGAAGCGATTCGGTGCTGAGGAGGTGTGTGCTGGACTTTTCTTAACTTCTACCACAAGCAATGCAAGCAATGCAAAGCAAGAGAAACACAATTCAGTTCAACAATGCATGACGGCACCCCATTCAAAGTGCATAAGAATGGTCTCCGTGGAAGCCTCTGACGCATATATGTGAGTGCTGCATTAGGCTGAGATGTCAGAACAGTGCCAGTGGTCTCTGTTCTTTGTTCTGACTTCTTCTTGTACTCGATTGGACTTGATTTCTGTCTCTGTGAGACAGGTCATAAAGTTGTTGCTGAACATGAAAGGAAAATTAATAACTGACACAAGTGAGGAAGAGAAATCTTCTATCACAGGGGACTGGCAGTTCAAACAATAGACTACTCTTCAAACCAGCTCAATGTGGTAGCTTTCAGTTAGTTAACTTTCTGTTAATGATATCTGAAAACAAACACATTCATAAACACTGTATTTGCACATAATTAATGTCAAATGATCCCCTATTTTGCTCAGTGACTGACTTGCCCAGTAAAATAAAAGGACTAAATATATAGGATTCTTTTCTAAAAAATAAACTGCCAAAAATAATTGTCAGATGTTTTATCCAATTACATTTCACTTTAATGCATCAAGTTATCCAGAGATAAATAGTCATGAAACATAGCTTCTATTAAACATTCATGGTAAGAGTAACTCATCAATCTTGATTTGTGAAATAAATATAACCATTCTGTTTTTCTGTTAGCTACTTAAATCTATTCAAATGTATTTATTTATTTATTTATTTTTAAATATAGGTAAAATAGGAGGCTTTAGAACTTCCTAAAATGCAAAGTTAAAATGTGATGAGTTTTAAAACGTCATACCTTGCAAAATACAGTGTAAAAAAACACAACTTCTTAATGCTGCTCTCTTCCAATGTTTGGATGTAGGTAATTTGTCAGTGCCATAAAAAGTAAGATATAGAGCAGACCATGCATAACAAAGTAGGAAATAATAACAATAAACACAAAACAGTTAAAAATAAATCACTTAACTGCATAGCCTGTTTACTCATGGTAGAAAAACAAAAAAAGTCAAGGAAAAATGACCAAATCAGCAAGTCAACAAAATCTGGCAGACAAAACGCTCAGCTTCTGTAACACCCCTGGTGCGATTTGAAACCATGCAGAGGACGGAACAAACAAGCATGGCGTCGTCATAGACACGTGCCCCGTGGATTCCTTCACTGCTTCTAAACATCAGCCTGTTAGCGCTGTCATTGTGAGCATGGTTACCTTGCTGGCCCCTCACTGTGCTTCAAGCGGTAGTTCAGGTTATTTTATGTGGGGTTGTGTAAGGCATTTGTAGTCAGTTACTTGCAGTTGGTTTGGATCAGCGTGTTCCCAGGTTGCCAGTATCAGTTGAAGTGTATGTTAAATTTTGAATATTTTCACCACTTTCTCTTGCCATCAAACCACGCTTTCCTTTGGCACAATATTTTCTTAACTATTGAACTACCGTATCCCTGCACACTAGCGCACTTATGGCACACACTCTATTACGTCACAGATCTGCGGTTTGAGTCAGACAGAGCTAAGCTTCACTTCTGTAAAGATGTGTTTGTCTTTAGTATTAATTCAGGAGCAGGTCAGGCAGGGAACTGGATAGTTGGTGATGCAGAGTGAATGTGAGGCACCAGCGCTGTTTAATGGCAAGATAACGCTGTGAAAATGTTCAAAATATAATGTGATATTGTTTTTCTTCAGTTGATGTTTTTTATGTGGCTGAAAAAAGTTTCTGTGCTGACCCTGTCCACAGAAGTACACTGCTCAGCTTCTGTGCTGGTGCTCCTGTCTGCTTCTCTGAACTGAACTGGAGCACGCTGATTAGGGTTGTGCCGGTAAACAATGATACTGGCGATAGACAATCATCAGAACGATGGACGATTGCTCATGCCCCAGTAATGTAGTAACTTAAAATTTAAAGTATTGAATCTATAATAAATTAAATTTGCCCTGCAACAGTTTCACATATATAATCGCATATAACCATGTTTGTAACACGGGCGCACACCCACACTCCGACCAACTGATTGTAAT